ATTTGGCTTTTTACATTTAGGCATTTTACATTTCATGTTAATTAGTTTAGTTGTTATCAAATAAACGACCGCGAATATAAGCCAATTACGGTTTCTGTATATTACTTCCAGCAAACAGAGCTCAGGGTTGGCAATGTACATTATCGGTTCATATAGGTTAAGCAAGAGAGAAGCTAAAAAATATCGAAATTAACACCTGACTTTTAAATTAGTGACAAAAAAGTCTCTTTAAATCTCATTATATTTTCGCGACTGCTTTTTGAAACTTAAAATGATTGATATGAACTGTGAAAATACAAATAAAATGAAGATGTGACCCTCGCAGTTGCATTGAAATTTATGGACTTGCAAGATTTCGGGGCTTCAGCTTTGATGCCCAGAAATCTTTATCCTTAACTGGCAATTCCTTAAATTGTAGAACAACTGCGGTGGTCACCACGACATCTCTTTTTCATACTTACCACACCGTGACCTTCTCCTTCTGACTAAGATTCTGGTTCATTTCCGGTTAACAGACCGGTATGTCGTTAGGTTAGCCTTGTAGTTTACTGGTGTAGCCGCGAGAGGCACTGTTGAGTGTCTTCTCTTTCCTTTTGAATAGTCTGGATCAAGACTAACAGTCCAATTAAGATCAAACGCATCAAGGTACATCAAGAGAACCAATGAATATCCCAGAGTGGATTCATTGGTTCCTTTGAGGCACCATGACAAGAGTTATCTTCGGTGGCCCACTTGATCTTGATTCAGATCATCACAAAAACGCACCATAAGAACACAAGATGCGGATAAGGACTGCGCCCCAACGCGCTAACCATAACACCACCACACCTCGCTGCGACAAATGCACAACGGAGACAAATTAAATATTTCCGAGTTCCGCGTGCGCAGCAAAAGTCATTTCTGACATATACATTTCTTACGCTGCTCGCGCGCTATATTTCCAAAGGGCTTCAGGAGAGGCTCAATCTCATGTTAACTCACGGAAAATCACCTGACCTAAACAATTTTACACTCCGCTACTCCCCTAACCGACAATTTTTCGAAGGTTCACGAGCATTCCCGCTAAGCTCCTTCGGAAAACGTCCCTTGGCGCTTCTAATAACAAAAGAACTCCGTCTCCAGTGAAAGTCAGCCTTCATTTTTGGGGATTCTGCATGTTGAGTTAAAAAGTTGGACGCAAAATCATGGTAGAAGAAGATTAATTCATTGATGACGTAAAAGCAATCATGTCGCCTCGTGATTATCACTCAAACAGAAAAACGAGTTTGCACTGGGGNCCTTGGCGCTTCTAATAACAAAAGAACTCCGTCTCCAGTGAAAGTCAGCCTTCATTTTGGGGGATTCTGCATGTTGAGTTAAAAAGTTGGACGCAAAATCATGGTAGAAGAAGATTAATTCATTGATGACGTAAAAGCAATCATGTCGCCTCGTGATTATCACTCAAACGGAAAAACGAGTTGGCACTGGGGCAAGACTACAGGACTGGACCGAAGATCGAAAGCAGGTAGTCACAATTCGTATCAATTTTTCGATCTAAGGCATGAGTGAGTCACAGAATCAATACTTAACACGTGCAATTGGTACCTGTCTTAACAGAAAACAACTCATTGGACGTTTCAGTCCTGTCCTGTTTAAGCAATGTGTCCTACACACAAGGCAGTAGTTTGTGGGTAAAATACCGTTGTTCAAAGCACGATGGTGGGTCGGTAAATTAACCCCAAAGCCGTATGGATTCCATGGCACAATGAGGGTGGATGAGTACCCAGCTCTCAGTCACTAGACACGTAGACAATTAACGTTAACAGCAAAAAAGTGTATATTGACGAAGAAAGTGGATCTAGTTATTCAATTGTTTGGTCATTGTAAATGTCAGGATTTATGAAAACAGTGTTAATAAATATTTCACTCTAAGGTTAATGAATATCTCACTCTAAAGTAGACGAGGAAGTAATTTTTTTTCCTCGACCTTTTTACATTTCTTTTTGCATCCTTAAGCTTCCACCTTTTCTTTCATCGTTTGGAGTGTTTTTAGAGCCTTTTGGAGTCGTAACTTATCAAGTTCTGTAGCTCACGTGGTGGAAAGGTACGAACTTTCCATTAATTAAGATCGTTTTCATAACTCCAGTCGTGTTACCCTGCGTAGCAAGCGTTCCCGGTCGAAGAGCCTTTTCCGCATTCTGTCCGCGCCTCACCACTTCCTGACCCTTTCTGCTTCGTCGAATTTTTTGCTCTCGCTTCAGCTCGCGCGCGGCCAGAATGTGGAAAAAGGTCTTTGAACGGGAACACTTGCTACGCAGACTAGGGACGTGTCTTAAGTCTAGGTATACTAGACTGATTTAAAAATATTTTATTTATGAAAGATAAAACAGTGTTGCATGTCACATTATACTCCTGTTTAAATGTAACTTACTTTGAAAACGTTTAAAATGTGGGCCTCTGATTTGTACCAACACAGTTTTCAACCCCTAAAAGGTACCATGAGCACCCCTGTCAAAATGTTCTTGTTCTCAGAGGTGGACAGAGTGCCTCTATATGTTATACTGATTAATACACCCAAGCAAAAAGTGATCAGTGACTTCTGAGCAATTCCGGCAAAACAAGCCTATTCAGCAAAAAGGGCTAAGCTGCTTACGAGTATTGAGTCTAGCCGCTGCTGTTCTAATGGCTAGCGAACGGAAGGTAATACTTATCGATACATATGATTCTCTAACATCTAGGTGTAACCTACGGAGACTGATCTAAGGAGTTAGCATGCTTCTTACGCAAAGAAAGAGGCGTTAGGAAATCGAGCAGTAATCCCATACAGTCAGCGGTATCANACGAACATTTTGGTCGTTTCCCCTCAAATTCGTTATATCGAGGTTTTCGATATAACGAACCCTCGATTTAACGAACAAATTTGGCCGGTCCCCAGCGACGTCGTTAAATCGAGGTTCCACTGTACTACGGTGAAGGTGGAGCTGAAGATAAACTCCATTCCATTCCTAGAGATTGAAACCTTAACTTGAAACGGCTTTGTCATCGATACCGGCGCCGAGCAATGGTTTCCGCATGCAGTGACAAGGAGTATGGCTAATTTCGCTAGATAGAGGTTGAACACCAGGTATCCATCGCAAGTTACCCTTCGGGGTTTTTCTTTGTCAGGTTACCTATAGACAATTCGACGGTACACGTTTACTCTCTTGGGCGGAAAAGTGCACTGTAAACGTAAAGCTTCTTGACCAGGAACACAACACAACGGGCCACAAACCATGCTTCCAGTTTGCATCCCTAGAACTGGAGTCTAATCTAAAAACTTATAGGCTACTGCATACCTCGGGGTTTAGATGCTTTAATCTCAGGTGCAAATTCTTCTTTTCCTTTATTTCCATAACTACCCATAGTTTCCTTCTCACCCTCCAGACTTTCCAATGCTTGCAGAGAACGTTTTGATTTCTTCAAAGTTTACATACAAAAAACAACAGCAATAAAGTAATAACTCATTATAAAATATAGATCTAGCCAAGCCTAAAAGCGGAGCTCCGGATCCGGGTTTTTCAAAAGCCCAATTAAGCTAACCCAGGTCAAGCGAGTCGTTTGATTTGAAGTTTGTAACTTTGCGGTGAGGTTTTATGTTTGTATTGTTTGGCCTTCTCTTTTGAGTTTTAATAAACTCAAACTAGACAAAACATAAGCAGTGAAAAACATTTTTGAACGAGAAAAAGTTATACTTCGGTTAACTTTTAATCCTGGGTTAGCGTTAACCGGCTTCCGAACAACGTGGCCCTGATTCCAGCAAGTTAAGCTCGCTTGAGCCCGCGATCCAATCGAAACCCAGTACTTGGTCATATTTATCTTGCGTCAGTTCTGAAGTGCGGCTCCGCCGATAAAAGGAGGCGGCATGGCAAGGCCTAGTGGTTAGGCTTGGACTAGTAATCTG